CGTCATCTAAAAAATTAACAACTGAAGGAACTAACTGAAAATCACAGAAGAATGGTATTTCTTTTCACAATAGCTAAGGTGAAGGAGAGGTAAAATTTGCTACAAGATAGCAAAATCTGCTCCCATCAGTAAGTACTAAAAACCTTGTGATATTAAGGTAAGACTCATCAATCTCTAGCTACCCTAGTGGTTTTTTGATACCTTTCAGTGCTGTTAAAGGTCAGGTGGGTGGACTCGGATCAGGGTTATGGCAAAGGGACCAAACCGACCCTTCCAAACCACTCTGGAAGGATAAAAGATAGTGCCTCCAAGGTGGCACCTGAACCCTCTCAGGTTACCGACTGGTCCTTTAGGTTTCTATTAACAGGCAAACCCTGAGAAAAGGAACTGCCTTCTGGGCAGGATGAGCTCTGTTTCTGATTTACGAAGGCCTGGACTGTTTTTTTTTTTTTTTTTGAAAGTCTCCAAACACAGAGCATGGCCTTTAATAAGTTAACAAATGATTTTTCAGAGACAGGGTAGGGAGAGGAAGAAATGCTATTGAATCAGAAATATTGAAATGGACAAGTAAGCTGCAGGTGCGAGTATCAAACAGAGTAACTAGAGTCCCCATGGAGAAGGAGACATTTTGACGCAGATGAGAAGAGGAAGAAGATTCAGTCAAGCAGACACCTGGGGTCAGGGTTTTCCACACAGAGACAACAGCTGGGAAGCGTGTCTGAGGCAGAGCTTGCCGAAACAGTGCAGACACACTGCAAGGACACCAGAGCAGCCTGGAGTGAGGAAGAGCTGAGCAGAAGGCTGAAAGTGTGAGGGTCAGAGGGCCAGGCTGCTGTGGGACGAAGAAGCTTCAGCTCTATCAGCCAGACAGTAAAGGACAACGGAGGGTCACAGATGCCCAGGCAAGGCAAGGTGTGGGGAAAGGAGAGAGGTGGGGCAAGAGAAATCAGCAAACAGGAGGGTTTGGGCAAAAAGCTAGGACCACAACCAGGTAAGGCTGAGAGAGCCCATGGGGACCTCACTGGCATCTTCATACTGTCCACAGCCTTGTCTCAAGGGACATCTCTGCTCTAGCCACAGTACCACATACTCAAATACCAGGCCCAAATTCACTCAGTAGTCCTCCTGCTGAACAGGGGTCTACTATGTGCACCGGACACTTGAGAAACTCTGGTGACGGACCAGAGCAATACTACTGGG